AATGTTGCTGGGGGGTCTTCAGGGAAAGGCTGAGCTCAGCCGTCACAGAGTCTGCCCTGGAACCACGCACAGGGCAGAGAGAATTGGAAATGCTCTAAGATTGGTCTTCCTGGCTCTTGGGTCCCAGGGGCTGGATTCGAATCCTGCTTCAGCTTCTTCCAAGCAGTGAGGCCTTGGGCAAGAAAGTTAGCTCCTCTGAGCCTGGCTTCCCCCCTCTTGAGATGTGGGAATGGCAGTAGTATCTGTCCACTGGGTACTGGGAAGATGGTATGCACAGTGCCTGGGCTAGGGTGAGGGAGCTGTGACGCACGTACAGTGACCCCATGTTGGCTCCAGGGGAGTTGGAAGGCCAGTGCAGCTTGTGATTGTGTTGCAGGGAGTTCAGTGTACAGGGACAGGCAAGTCCTCTCTCTTCATTTGGCCATGGTGGGGACTAGAGGTAGGCCAGAGCCAGGGCACGGACAGGGCTCCTCCTGCTGGTGGGCCAGTGGGCCATGGGCAGAGCAGAGGAGGCCTACCAATGAGCACAAGGCCTGTGTCCCTTCCCGGCGATTCTCTTTGATACCCATTATCTCTATAATCCTGAGAAAGCCGAATCAGAGGTCAGCACATACTGCCCCCAGCATTAATGGGGCTGCCAGAATGGGCATGTGTGGAGGCCGCTGACACCAGAGATGAGGGGTGGATAGCCACAGCAGCAAGTCCCTTTGTACTTCGTTTCTGCCGCCGTTGGGTGACGTTGAGTGGATTTTCGACTCACAGCGATACCATGTGACAGGGTAGAGGTGCCCCATAGGGCTTTCTAGGCTGTAATCTTTATGGAAGCAGATCCCACAAGCATTAATTTTGCACAGCGCCCCCCTCACTTCACATACACACACACCACCTCCACCTCCACCGCCACCCAGAGGGACTTCCTTCCCCCACCCAGGCGACATTCACCGTTTCACAACCCACAGCCAGGTAGGGCTCTTGGGCATCTTGTTTCAGTTGGGGAACCATGAAGACTCAGGGCAAAAGGATCTTGTAGCCACCTTGCGAGGGAGACGCGTACTCGTGAGCAGCCTCTGGGTGAGGTGGCCGCCCTGCCCTCCCCCACAAGCCACCATGTGTGCCCTGCAGAACTGTCACCATCTGACTCTTCTTCACCTGATCTGGTTCTTTAAGTCACGCACGGCTTCAGTTTGAATAAAGTTACTAAAAAGGAACACGTGTGTCACCTCTATCCCATCTGTTTTTTTCTAATACACGTTTCTGTTGTTGGGAGCTAATAAGTGACAGCAAGTGGTACCACAAGCCAAATACTTGCTGTTTGGGGTTTTTTTGTTTTTTGTTTTTTGTTTTTTTTTTTTTTTTTTGCTTTAATTCCAAAGAATTTCAAAAGCGGGCAGAATGATATAATCAACCTCCAAGTACCCATCACCCGGACCCAACAATGATCAGCTCAGCTAGCTGATAATTATCAGCTCGTCTTATCTCATTCACACCCCCACAACCCCACTTTATTTTTTAACAGCTTTATGGAAGTGTGGTTTTGTTTTTTTAATTTTATTGTGGTAAAATACATGTAACAAAAAAATAATAATTTTAACTATTTTTAAGTATACAATTCAGTGGTATTAATTACATTCTCCATGTGGTGCAACCATCACCACTGTCCATTTCCAAATGCTTTTCGTCACCCAAAACTCAGTGTCCCTTAAGCAATAACTCTCCATTCCCCCACTCCTCAGCTCCTGGTGACCACTAATCAACTTCTGCTTCTGCATTTGCCTATTCTAGCTGTTTTCTAATACACATTCAAATACATATATAATTTCTTAAATTAAAAAATATATATGTATTTTCAGCAGATACCACATGAAATGACCTTGTTTGACCACAGTGTTACAAACACAAGTTGTGTTTCGGGAAACACAGGCGTAGGGGAAAAAGCCTGTATTTCAGAACAAGGCCCAGCCCCAGGCGCAGTTGTGGACTCAGGCAGGCGTTTCAGCTCCCTGAGCCTCAGCTTCATCAGGTACATTCAGGACAGTGCTGCCTGCCCCACCTGTGGAGGCAGGAGAGCACGTGAGGTCACCCAGCCCAGGCCCCACAGCCCTGAGGAGGGCTCCCAGAGGGCAGCCGTTGATGGTGAAGTGCTCTGGCGCTCTTCTGTTGGCCTGCCCTCAAGTGGTTCTGTCACTGGCTTTACTCTTACCTCAGTTTTATAGGTAAAAAGCCAGGGCCGGAGAAGCAAACTGGCTTGTCCAAAGTCACAAGCCTTGGTGGCCCAGCCAGTACTGGTGGGGGTTGTGGCCTCAGAGCCTGGGCTGCCCAGCTGATCCCCCAGCCCCTTTGCTCCTGAACCTGTACAGAAACTTCCCTCCTGCTGCCCATCTGCATACCTAGCCACTTGTGGCCATTATGGGCTGTGCAGAAGAATCCAGAAGGCCAGGAAAGGGCAGGTTCCACATGTCTAGGTACAAGATTTGGACGTGTTAAAGCTCCTCTTCTCTGTCACAGTCGTCTTGGCTGATTATCACTAAGGTCTCAAAGCTTGTGAATGACTTTTTGAAAAAACACGAGTTAGAGCAGATTTGAGGTTGCTTCCCAGTTTGCTTCCTTGAGCAGGTTAGAGAGCTACAGGAATGAAGAGGTAAGCTAGCCACTCCACAGATGAGTTGGCTGGAGCCTGGACCTCCGTGACGAGTGCTAATATAATTATCCTAACAGCCAACATTCATTGAGCTGTTGCCGTGTGCCAGGTGCTCCTCAGTCCTTTAGATGTGATAACTAATTTAACACTCAACAACCTTGTAGGGTAGGTACTGTTATCATCCCATTTTCCAGATGAGTATGATGTGGCACAGAGGAGTTTACGTAATTTGCACAAGGTCACAAACAGTGGCAGAGCTGTGGACACATACATAATAATGGGTCTTAGGTTCAGTGCCAGAAGTTTGTTGGTTTTGCCAAAAATTTTTGGGGATGGCCACAAAAATGTAAACAGATGTCCAGCACCCAAGGGTGGCCTGTCAGCTCCCTCAGCCCCGCTACCCAGAAACACCGCTCTTCTTCCTTGCAAGTGCGGAACCGCTGAAGGCGCCACAGCTAGCGCTTTCAGCACCTTTGTGTGATTAGAGAAGGGTCCCCCATCCACAGTTCACCTGCTGGAAACTTCTCACCATGGATAAGCAGACACGTGGCTGGTGTCCTCTTAGATGAGGGGCGTCTGTGCCGCGCACACCTGCAACCCTGGCTGTTGGAGAGGTACGAGAGCTCTGGGGTCACCGGGCCCTGCCCTGACGCTGTGTCCGTTCCTCTCTCCACAGCCACCTTGCCGTGTAAGATCCTAAAGTGCAACTCGGATTTCTGGAGCGCCACGTCGGGCAGTCACTCGGAGGACGCCCCCGAGTTCTGCACGGCCCTGCGCGCCTACGCCTACTGCACGCGGCGCACGGCCCGCACCTGCCGGGGCGACCTGGCCTACCACTCGGCTGTCCATGGCATAGAGGACCTCATGAGCCAGCACAACTGCTCCAAGGATGGTCCCACCTCGCAGCCACGCCTGCGCACGCTCCCGCCAGCAGGGGACAGCCAGGAGCGCTCCGACAGCCCCGAGATCTGCCACTATGAGAAGAGCTTCCACAAGCACTCAGCGGCCCCCAACTACACGCACTGCGGCCTCTTCGGGGACCCGCACCTCAGGACTTTCACAGACCGCTTCCAGACCTGCAAGGTGCAAGGCGCCTGGCCGCTCATCGACAACAACTATCTGAACGTGCAGGTCACCAACACACCCGTGCTGCCCGGCTCCGCCGCCACCGCTACCAGCAAGGTAAGCCTAAGGGTGATGCTGGGCAGCCCCGCAGGTCACAGCACCTAGGCGTCATTGTCAGAAGGGCCCAGGCACAGCCCCAGGTGACTTCTGCACCTGCCATGTCCGTATTTCTTAGTAAATAGGCAAATTATTTAGAAAGCAGTGTTCTGGAAATTCTGTTAGGAGGTAATCCAACCTGGAGCCACCTCTCTGATTAGAGTGCTGTTTTTCAATTTGTGGACACAGCCAACTAAAGGATTGTGAAATCAATATTCTGATGCCAGAAACCTGCATATATATGTGTGTTCATGTTGTGTGTATATGTGTATATGCATATTTTCCTTTTTTGTTTCAGTAGGACAGGATAGCATAGGAGTCCTTGGGTGGCGCGGACGATTTAGCACTCGGCTAAAGGTTGGTGGTTTGAATCCACTCAGAGGTGCCACAGAAGAATGGCCTGGGAATCTGCTTCTGAAAGGTCACAGCCCTGAAAACCCTATGGAGTGCAGTTCTACTCTGAAACACATGGGGTCACCATGAGTTGGGATCAACTCAGTGGCATGGTTTTAAAATTGCATAGCATAGCATAGAATACATAGGAAAGGCAATATGTGAACACATTGTACATAGTAAGGGTAAATGTTGTTTTAAGAAAGTTCAGTTTCTGGTACACACGTGTGTGTGTGTATATACCAAACCAGCCAGTTGCCATAGAGTCGCTACCTACTCGTGGTGATCCCATGTGTGTCAGAGTAGAGCTGTTCTCCGGAAGGTTTCACTGGCTCATTTCTCAGAAGTAGATGTCTAGGCCTTTCTTTTGAGTCGCCTGTGGGTGAACTCGAACTTCCAGCCTTTTGGTTAGCAGCCAAGCACATTAACTGTACTAACCAGGGATTCCATGTGTACACATACATACATACATACATACTCTGTGTGTGTGTGTGTGTCAACACTGGATTGAGATACAAAATGGATTTCTTACTGGGGTGTAGTCAAAAAAATTTAGAAACACTCCCCAAAGCGCTCATTTTCAAACTTTTGGAATATTCTTTTCTTATCCTCATGCCAAATCTTGGTAGAACGCCAGTGTTGAAAACCAACAGATGTGGAGTCTCAATCTTTGCCCTCGAAGAGCTTACCGTCTAGTTGGAGCAAATGCCACACTTGGAAGTGGCCCTGCCTTCCTGCTGGGTGCCATGGTCCTGCCCGGCGGTTCTCATTTCTGGCTGCACATTTAAAACGGGCGAGGTTTTAGAGTAGAGTGATTCTGGGCCCCACTCCAGACCGTGTGAAACCAAATCCCTGGAGGTAGGGTCAGGCGTGTGTTGTTTAAGCCCCCAGTAGTTCTGCCGCTTGGCAGGTTGGGAACAACCAGTCCAGACCGGGGCTGCAGAGACCAGTCCGACTCTTCATCTCTTTGTCCTGCACGGGCACTTCAGAGGAGGTGGCCCCAAAGCAGACAGGGCTGTGAGTGTCGGGATGAGGGAAGACGGAATGGAGGGAAGACAGAGAAGCATCTTGACTGAGCACTCCAGGGCCACCCGTGTGCCTCCCTCCTCCTCCCGCAGAGCAGCCTTGTGGCTCAGGCAGTGCCATTTTTGACAGATAAGGAGCCTGAGGCTCCAAGGAGCCCAGCGACCTGCCCAAAGTGCAGTCAGCCAGCAGCGCTGAGCTGGGGTTCGGCCTGGGGCTGTGTGACTCCAGAGCCCAGTGTCTTCTCACATGTCACCTAGCAGTTCAGTTCTGGAACCACAGGTGTTTTTGAGAGCCTGCTGTTTTCTGACCCCAGAGGCTTCAGTGTCTGGGTAGCAGGAATCAAGTCCTCATGGGGCCACAGCAAGAGGTAGCCATGCCCCCAGACCCAGGCAGTAGGGGCTCTCCACCCCTTTGTTCATCGACTTCTGAGGAAGGGTCCCCATTGACCTCATTCAGACTCACCCAGAAAAGGCTAATGGGCTCCAGAGTCCAGGCAATGGGGACACATCTCCCTCCTCAGTGCACCCCTAGCCCTACGCACCAGAGCCCATCCAGGCTGGCAGGAGGGAAGTGCAGCTCATCCACAGCTGCGAGTGGCCCTGGGCTTGTTTTCCAAGGATGAGCATGTGAGAAGGCAGCGTGTCACCAGTGCCATTCGGGTCCATGAGGACGTTTCCATCTCTTCCTGACCCTCCACACCCTGGAGGTGCACTGTGAAGTGACCTGCCAGCCAGGAAAATGCTCGAGTCCCTGCTGCTTCCCGCTGTTCCAGTGGCCCTTGCATACGCCCAGGGGGTCTCTCTCCTAGGCCCGCCAGCTTGGGAGGAAACAAGCGGGCCCTTCGCCCTGTGGGCACCCTCACAGGCCTGTGTGCTGGCCTGCCCAGGACAGCCGAGGTGTGGCCAGCACCTCTCCGCCCACTGCCCCTCCCAGCCCTCCACAACAGAGAGGCCTGCTACAAGGACCCAGCCTCCTTCCCTGAGGCCCTGCACCTACCTACCACCCTCCCTCCCTAGAGCCAAGGTAAATGAATGCCTGAGCCTGCAGCTTCTAAATCCGGCAGCAGCAGACTCTGCTTGGGAGGGGCCCTGGCTTCCTGTGACATCCTGAGGGCTGTCAAGGCAGGGAGGTCTGAGGGTGGGAGAGGGACCTGGACCCCAGATGGCCTGCCCCTCCCAACCCAGGGTGGTGTGGGCATCTGATATGCCCACAGAGCCAGGCCATGTTTCTATGCGGAGTTGTGGTTTGCTGGTCACAAAGGCAGGGCTGCTGCCCTGTTGACTGGCAGGGGTCACAGGGTAGAGGGAGAGCCTGCCCACTCCCTAGGCAGCATAGTGTTGGGGCCTGCAGCCTGTGCCTGGGCTTAAGACACCTGCTACCACCCGCCACCACCCCAGCTCCCCGCAGACCACACTGGGCCTGTAAGCCCAGGGATGCTGTCAAAAATCCAAGTGAATTAATCATTCACTCATTCACTCTCTTGTGTCACTCGTTCACTTGACCAGCATTTTTGTAACACTTGTTCTGTTCCAGCTCGCTGCTGGGCACTGTGGGAGACAGAGGATGGCAGAACCCGCCCTCCGAGCAGGGCAGCTGGGTAGGAGGGTGGTTCCAGAAGGACGCAGGTGTATAACAGAGCTTGGCTGACCCCATCCCTCTCAGCTCTGACCGTGGACCACCTCTGCTGTCTTTTGCTGAGAGCTCAGTGGCCTGCCGTCACCCCTTCAACCAGGAGGCGGGTGAGGCCCTACTGGGGGCCAGTGATGGGGCTGGTCTCAGAACTGAGGCCAGACGCGGGCCTGTGGTACACCCTTGACCTGCCCCTGCCTGTTCTTTCAGGCCTTGCTCAGGTGCTTCTGTTGGTTCAGCACCTCTCACACACGTGCCCATCTCTGTGCTGGGCATTGCCCACCCTTCCCGCAGCTCTCGGGCACATGGACAACAAAGGCCAGCAGAGGGGTGTGCTGTGAGTCACATCATAGATGTGCTGAAACCCATGTGAAATTGTGCACTACACATTAGTAAGTAAACACCAGTAAGCCCATGCGTACCTTACTTTCTGGTTAATCTGCCCTTGGCTGTGACAGGTGCTGGGTGACAGATGTTAAGGGTCTCTGGGGGCCCTGGCTCTGCCCAGGGCACTGGGGAACGCTTCTGGGAGTCGTCCACGGAGCTCGCCTCTGAAGATCATGGGCCAGTAGGATCCCTAGGTGAAAGAGATGGGAGGAGGCAGCATGGGAGCCAGGCAGGGCATTAGAGAGCAGCCCGGAGCCTCCGGGAGCAAGGACCTGGTAGGCCTGGGGCATTGGGCCCAGGACCCTCAGGGAGGGCCTGGGAGGCCAAGGGGCTTTTATCTCCAAGGTGATGGTGCCCCTTTGGCTTTTGTCACCCCCACAGGGGCTCAGACTCCTCTGCTCACTGAACACACTCCCTTTTGTTCCCCATCAGCCGGGCAGACCCCACCTCCACCCTGCCTGCCTGCCTACAGGGCTCCACTGCGGGCCAGCCCCTCCCCCAGCTGCCCAGAGCATGTCCTCCCTGCCTGCCCCTTACCCTCACAGCCCTGCAGCCATGAGCTTGGCCTTCTCAGATGGAAGCTCTGTGGGCGAGCCCTGACCCACATACCTGGAGTCTTCCCCTCCCCTGCCCCATGGGGCCTCACCCAGGGCCCTCTGCTCATTTCCCTTGAGACTGGCATTATCCAGCCGGCCCGGCGCTCTGTCTTCATGGATGGTTGAGGGCGAGGGTTTTCCAGCTTCCCGCCCCCTGGGCCCGGCCTCCATTGGCGCTTGTCCAGATGGAGCGGAAGGTGCCGGGATTGCCTGCTGCTGAGTGCCCAGCCCCCATGCTTACACCTGAGGGTCTCCCTCTTCCCAGCCATGCTTCTCACACTCCATTTTACAGGAGATGAACCTGAGGTACAGGAGGTCTGTTGGCCTCCAGACCCTGTCCCCACCTTTCCTCTTCACCTAAGCACTTCCCTCAGTGTCATGCGATGTAAATTGTCTCCTTCCTGTGCCTCTCCCAGGTTGGGAGCTCCATGGGGACCGGACTTTTGAACTGCCCTGTTCCCTTGTGTCCCCAGCCCTAGTACAGGGCCTGGCCTAGTGGTGGGCTCCATAAATGGTTGTGGATGAGGCCTGGGCCCTGCCCCGTGCCCAGCACAGTAGAAAGGGCTATAGCCCGGTGGATGGTGGCCAGCCCCTGGGGGCATCGCAGGCAGGGGTAGCAGCCGCGCCTGCGGACACGTTGGCAGTGTGCCGCCTGGCTTTCGGCAGGCCCCCTTCATGCTGTTACTTGTGGTTGATTCCGTGGCATGGGTGCCAAGAACAGTCAGGCAGCCTGTCAGCCTTCCAGAAGGCTGTCTCCACTAGCGATGGCGGTTAGAGTCCAAACCAGCCTTTCCTGTTCCAGGGAGACAGATGGGACTTGGAAAGCAGGACCCCCCTCTCACCCCATGTCTGTGTGGCCGTGCACACCAGGGCAGGGACACCAGAGTCTCTCTTCCCTCTCCCCCTCCCCAAATGGCAGGACCACCCACTAGCCAGACCACCCTGGCTGGGCCCACCTCCCAGCCCCCCAACAGGCAGCCCCCACATCAGGGGTGGGGGAGCAGCCGGATAGAGAGGAGGAGGAAGCAGGAGGCTGAACCATACGAAGCTCCATTTTTATCTGTCAGAGATGGCAGAATAGCGGCAGTTTCATGTGGTCCGGTACTCAGGGCTCAAGCTGGAGGGAGAGGCTGCAGCCACCTGAGACAGCCCATAGCCAACTGGATATGTGCCCAGTTCCCCAGGACCAGGTCTGTGCGGGGACAGGCTCAGCCCTCCCAGGGAAGGAGACAAGGAAATGGAGTCTGTGCCCAGAGCATGTCAGGGCCTCCCAGTTTAGTGCCTGGTCCACCCCGGCAGCACCTCCACGGCCTCTGAATTCAGAGCCAGCATCCCTCCCTCCCCACACTGCAAGCAGGTGGGTGCCATTCAGCAAGCAGAATGTGCCCCTCGCAGGCCTGCGCACCCACCTGGCGCTCCGCACCACGAGACTTCTCACGTCGTAATGTCTTTTGAAATCCAAAGGAAAAAAGACTAACAGAATCCAACACAGACTGGACTGGTCTTTATACCAACACAGTTGTCAAATATAATTTTTAATATTGCTGTGGAGGAAGGGGCCCCTGAAAGCAAAAGTGCTTGAAGCCCTCAAAAGTCATACTGCAGCCCTGCCCCTTGCTGAGTTCCTCCCACCCTTGCCTTTCCAACTGACCAGGTTGACATGGGGAACTTTTCTCAGAAGCCCTGGCTCAGGGTCTTCTTGCTTTTTTGGCCTTTCTGAAGGTCCCTGGCCCCTCATGCACTGGGCACCCCTTGGCCTGCCAGCACTCACCACCTGGTTACCCCTAAGACTTCCACTAGTGTGGGGGACCTCCAGAGCAAAAACGACACAGGGCCAGGATACGTCCAGCCAGGCTGTCATTACCCTGTTGGCTTGCTCACGCCAGAATTTTCTGTGGCCCCTTCCTCGTCCTTGGATCTGTCCTTCAGCACCTGCTCCTGAGGCCGCTCCCTGCCTGGCCTTGCCCTCAGCCTCCCGAGTCCCTGGAGGACAGACTGTTCATGTCTATGCCCTCAGCCACCCCTGAATTGCAGCCAGACGCACTCCCCAGCCTGCAGCCCTGCCCTCAGCCTCTCTAGGCTGACCTCTCCCTTAACTCTCAAGCCTGAGCTGAGTCCATCTCTGGCTCTCCCTGCCTTCCCTTCCCCCACCAGAGCTGGTTTTTGTTTCCTCTTGATCCTAGCACGGGCCCTGCCCATGCCATACGCTGCTCTCCAGAAAGGCCCTTAGCACCTCCCGTTGCTGCTATAACCAATTCCCACAAACTTAGTGGCTTAAAACAACAGAAATCTGTCCTCTTACATTTCTGGACGGTGGGCACTGATGGTTCAGTGATAGAATGCTCCCCTTCCGTGCAGGAGACCAGGGTTCCATTCCCAGCCAGTGCACCTCATATGCAGCCACTACTCGTCTGTCCATGGAGGTCGTATGTTGCTACGTTTCAGCACAGCTTCCAAACTAAGACAGACTAGGAAGAAAGGCCTGGCAATCTATTTCCAAAAATCAGCCAGTGAAAATGATGGTCCAGTCCGCAAGCAATCATGGAGATGGCGCAGGACTGAGCAGCATTTTGTTCTGTTGTGCCTGAGGTCACCATGAGTGGGGGGCTGACCTGACAGCGGCTGACAACAACAACAGATAGTTCTGGAGAAGTCTGAAATGAGTCTTAAATCAAGGTGTCCGCAGGTTTGTTTCCCTCTGGAAGCTCTAAGGGAGAATCCTTCCTTTCCTCTTCCAGCTTCTGGTGGCTCCACGCATTGCTTGGCTTGTGGGCTTATCACTTCAGTATCTGCCTGCATGGTCATGTTGCTCTATCTTAAGATCCTTACCTTAATCATATCTGCAAGGCCCCTTTTGCCACATGAGGAAACATTCACAGGTTCCAGGGATTAGGACCTGATGCCTTTGGGGCCATTATTCAGCCTACCACATAGACTAGTGGTTTTCCTTTTTTTTAATTAGCTATGCTTTTATTTTTATGGTTCCCTTCTGTATAAAGTAAATAAGGCTGGTTTTCTGTTCAGGGTAGTGATCTAAGGTTTCCTTTCTAAGTAACTTTTTTAAGTAAAAAAGGCAAGTTTTATAGAACAGTATTAAAAACAAATCAAACCAGTGACCATCCAGTCCATACGGACTCATGGCGACCCCATGTGTGTCAGAATCGAACTGTGCTCTCTAGGGTTTTCAAGGCTGTGACCTTTCAGAAGCAGATCACCAGGCTTTTCTTCCAAGGAGCCTCTGGGTGGGTTTGAACTACCAACCAGCCTTTCAGTTAGTAGTCGAGTGCTTAAGTGTTTACACCACTCAGGGACTGAAGTCCAGAATAGTGCAGAACTGTGACCAAAATGAGCATGGGAAAGTCTGGGACCTCCTGGGGCCTCTAGTCCAGAGCACCTTGAGGGAAGGTGAGCGGGGCCCTCTCTCCCCACAGTGAACGTCTGCTGGCCTGCAGTTGCTGGCACCACCTAACCCGCTTTCCTCTGCCCCCTCCCCGCAGCTCACCATCATCTTCAAGAACTTCCAGGAGTGCGTGGACCAGAAGGTGTACCAGGCCGAGATGGACGAGCTCCCAGCCGCCTTTGCCGACGGCTCCAAGAATGGCGGGGACAAGCACGGGGCCAACAGCTTGAAGATCACAGAGAAGGTGTCCGGCCAGCACGTGGAGATCCAGGCCAAGTACATCGGTACCACCATCGTGGTGCGCCAAGTAGGCCGCTACCTGACCTTCGCCATCCGCATGCCGGAGGAGGTGGTCAATGCCGTGGAGGACCGGGACAGCCAGGGCCTCTACCTTTGCCTGCGGGGCTGCCCCCTCAACCAGCAGATTGACTTCCAGGCCATCCATGCCGTGGCCACTGAGGGCCATGGTGCCCGCAGGCCAGCGGCTACCAGTCCCACACCCACGACCCCCGAGACCTTCCCCTACGAGACGGCGGTGGCTAAGTGCAAGGAGAAGCTGCCCGTGGAGGACCTCTACTACCAGGCCTGTGTGTTCGACCTGCTCACCACAGGCGACGTGAACTTCACGCTGGCCGCCTACTACGCCTTGGAGGACGTCAAGATGCTGCACTCCAACAAAGACAAACTGCACCTGTATGAGAGGACTCGGGAGCTGTCGGGCCAGGCGGCCGCTGCACCGCTGCCCCTGGTCCCCCAGCCCCTCCTCAGCGCCCTCCTCATCCTCCTTGCCCTGCTCCCTGTGTTCTTGTAGGACATAGAGGAGGCGAGAAATCTGTCCCCAGGCACATGGGCCCCTGAACCCTCATTTCTCCATTTGAGGTGCCGGCCAGTAGGTGCAGTATGGCAGGCCGTTCCCTGCAGCCCAGCCGTCTCCTCAGGACTCGGGGAGCAGAGGAGGCCACTAGACCAGTGGGCCTGTGGGACAGTTACCTCAGAGCTGCTTCGGCCTGCCTGCCAGCAAGGGCTCAGGGGCATGGGACGTCCCCTCAGCCCTTCTTGCTAGTGCACGTGACAAGGTTGTGGTGACTGGTGCTGTGATGTTTGTGACCGTAGAGTTGTGTGAGAGGGAGAGCAGCTCCCCTCGACCCCCACCCCGCAGTGTGAATGTGCAAACCAGAGCCCCCAGGCGAGCCCCTCCCCACCCACCAGAGAGACACTGGGACCCGTCAGAGTCAGCTCCCCCACTCCCCTGAAATGCACTGAAACAGGCTGGGCCGACTGCCACAAGCTGGCCCACGGGGCGCCCTGTGCCCACCACACGCACACACCCCACATGAGCACACTCATTCGCGCGCCCCAAGCCAGAGGAGATGCCCCACCTACCCGGCCCCCCATGGGCTGAGTGGGGCTGAGGCCCTGGTGAGGACCCATCCCCAGGCAGGGCCCTCAGCCTTTTTAGCAAATTAGTGAGATCTGTTGGCCACAAGGTTGTGCCCTCCTGGTGCCCTCCTGCCCTTGACCGCTCTATGAGACCCCATGTCCGCCCACCCATCCGGAGAGCCCTGCTGAAGGGACGGTGACTGTGCCACTCGCAGGCTCAGATACCTTTCTCTGGCCCCTCCCTCCACCCACCCCACTGTGCATTGGAAGCCGGTCCTTGGTTCTGAATGTTTAAACGGAGAAAAGACCCCGTTGATTTCTGTTCCTTTTTCTCCAGCAAAGGGTAGAGCCCCTGGGCAGGGCGATTGGGCCACAGGG